TCTGCTGTCTTTTTGGTCTTCTTGCCAAGTGTGGACAAGGCAGTGTTATAAATAGCATTCTTTAAATGTTCCCATCATTCAGGAGCATTTGCATCAGCCCGGTCTGGAAAAGTTTCCTCAAGCACTTGAGCAAATTCTTACACTTTCTCTGATCGTGAGTCTTGCTGATGTCAATGCTTGGTTTTCCTTCCTTTTTTTTGTGACAATCTCTTTATTTGGAGTTTTACTGTACTATACATCAGGGAGTGATCAGTATCACAATCAGCACCCTGATAACTGTGTGTGATCATAATACTAGGAAGGCTACAGCATCTAGAGAGGATCAAATCGAACTGATGCCAATGCTTCAATCTTGGATGTCTCCAAGAGTCTCTGTGTTGAAACTTCATATTAAAGAATGTGTTGCTGATACAAAGACCACACTAACAGTAAAACTCCAGCAAGCACTGGCCATTTTCATTCATCTTCCCAATGCCAAACCAGCCTAGACAAGTGGGCCAAGAATTGTGATCAGCATCAACTCTAGCATTAAAATCTCTGAGAATGAACAGAGTCTCTTTTTCGGGGATTTTCTTGATAGTAGCTGCCAGATCGTCATAGAATTTGTCTGACTTCTGCTGTAAACGACAGTGTTGGTGCATATGCACTAATAAGGGTGAGTGGTTCTGCTGGTGAGTGGAGCTTCAGAGATAAGACTCTTTCACTTCCCGCGGTAGGTGGAACAATGGATCTCAGCACAGTATTTCTAACCACAAAGCCAACACCATCTCAGCAGAGTATTTCTAACCACAAAGCCGACACCGCAAAGCCAACATTGGTCTCATTCAAGGGTTTTCCCTGCCAGAAGAATGAGATTTTTTTTTATTTGACAGATCCCATGTCTGGCAATCTCGCCTTGCAGGGCAACAATGTCTGTCTGCAGCCTACTCAGTTCCATGTCGATGACAGCTGTCTTGAATGTGTCGTCTGTTTTCTGCAGGTCATCAGAAAAGCCAGGGGTCATTGTCCGAACATTCAAGGTGCCCAGATTTAGGGCATAAGTTTTCTTATGTTTGTTGCATGGTGCAGGGTTATCGATCTGCTTGTCAGCTTTCACCCTAAGCCCCATGCACCACATGAGGTTAACAGACCGTGGCGAGACAACACCTTATTGGCTGGGGGCTGCCCAGCATAAGGCAGGTGGTAGCTAGCCAGTGAGGTGCAATGACCTCTCCCATCATCAGAAGTAGCCCCTGACATCACGCTCTATGCCAATTGAGCAAAGACTTATATCTGGAAACTGCTACTTCTCGTGTTATTTCGATGCTGTATGCGAAGCTGTAGTGTCCTCTCCAGAGCATGAGGTCAGGGTAAAATAATATGGAGGACAGACTGTTACCAAAGCAGCAAATTCCCCCTTTCCACGTCACTCAAATAGTCCAGTGGAAAGGCTGGTTGCAGGAGTTGCCAGAGCATCACGAACTGCCTCCGGGACTCTGGCTCCGGATTTTGCTTTGAGTTTAACTCCTGAAGCCTTTCCCATTGGCGGATATAGCCACAAACAGTGGAGGTTTGAAATTGGAATTTTTCTTCTCCTAGATGGGCTGCCTTCCAAGGCTAATGAGCCCTATCTATCCAGAACCAACCAACCAATATACATACTTACATACCTTCAGATTTCTATTAAGTGTTCATAAAACATCAATGCTGTGCATAATTTGTTCCACTTTGCTTCGTGTTGCTTAAATGTCTTCTCACAGTTTGCCTGTCCTTGTCTTTGGATTGCAACCTTTATTATTATTATTATTATTGGCTTTGAGAAGCAAAATGCACCCCCTCAACAACTGAGGACTTGGTTCCAAGCAAAGGCACTTCTGTGGATTTGTAAAATAATTTTCCAGAAGAACCAATTTGACTAAATTTTCCCATAACATTTATAATAGGATTCAGAAAAAAAGTGATTCACAAGGAGCTGTATCATTCCTGGTTGGTTGCACACAATACTGTTAGCGGCTTTGAGAAGCAAAATGCACCCCCTCAACAACTGAGGACTTGGTTCCAAGCAAAGGCACTTCTGTGGATTTGTAAAATAATTTTCCAGAAGAACCAATTTGACTAAATTTTCCCATAACATTTATAATAGGATTCAGAAAAAAAGTGATTCACAAGGAGCTGTATCATTCCTGGTTGGTTGCACACAATACTGTTAGCATTTTGAAGTATTGAGCAATCCCTTATTTGAGGGATACGTAGCATGTTAAGTTCGTATCTCTGTGTTGCACAATCTTGCATACATACAAACATCTCCACCCCATATGTCTTATACACAGCCAAACCCCCCAGGTCTACCCCAAATATTACTGCAGATCTTAGAGTAGAAAGCTTTACTCCTCCCCCAGAAATGTTGAATAATATTGCTGGTATGGGATGGGGGAGATTAATGCTTCCTTCACAGTGATGGTGGTGAAGGAAGAAGACTTCAAGTGGGGAAGATATTTAAACTTTAAAAACAGTAGCAGATATATTATCATCTGTTTCTTCTATTATTGCAGGAAGGGGAGGGTAATTGGTGGCAGTTTAATGGTTGCTCATATTCTTGGAGTGTTGCAGTAAAGGCTGCTGGCTATTTGTTTTTCTGTTTTACAAATGTGACACTTTAAAACATGGCATGAGAAGATTAGAATTATTTCAGATTGCTTCCTGAGCAAAAAAAGAGAAAAAGATGATATCACCATGTGTAGACTCAATATTCAATATATACATGGATTCATTAGTACAATGATTTGTAAATGCTGATCATTTTATTGTAACATTGAAGGGTGAGGCAGGTTATATTTTATGGTTTAAGAAATATTTTGGATAGCATTGCTAAAATATACTTTTTATTTTTGAATTATAGTTAAATATTACTGTCTTCTTGCTTAGATATGACTCTTTTTTTACTGATATAATTTTGTCTTGTTTCTACTTTTCTTCAAGTGTTTGTACTAATTGTCTTACTGTTGGCGGCTAAAATGATTTACTGGAAATATCAGTCTCTGTAAAGGTAAGGCTCTTCTTACTACCAGGCTTCTCTGCACATTTATTTTTGAACTCCAGTTCTCATCAACATAGAGATTCTCTTTATGAAGAAGTTAATATGTGTTGTATCATCTTAGTTGTATTGGGAGAGTTCTGTTTACTGCAGATACGTGGACTGTTCTTTTTTACTTCAAATAAGTGGAGATTAACTTTGGCTTCCCATTCAGTAAGCTGCTTTTTAAAAAGAGCATCAGCACTGTGCCAAGTGAGATGGATTATAGTCTTTTAAAAATTATTCGCCACGGCAAAGTGTGTAAGGGGACCTCAAGTGTGTCTAGAACCCCAAGACTGAGGGACCCCAAGATTCCACCTTTTGGCAGCTGATGTGCTATGGAATGCAGAGGCTTGTTATTAGAGAGAAAAGTAGGCGAGTTAGGTGCAAGTGTGGAAGCAGATTGTGTCTGTGCAATACTTCTGTGGATACTCAACCACTTAATGCACAGAACCATTTCAATCAGTAGAGGTCTAGCTGTTTAATAGACAGTGTGTTTTTCTTTTATCTGAGGATCTTGGATTCCTTGCTGAAATAAGGAATGTGAAAATTGTTTTTTAAAAATTATTTTAATGTGTCTTTTAATATGGCAATCATGTAATTTTTTTGTCCTGTGAGGGATTCGATTTCTGTAGAAATTCTGGACCAGAAACACTGGATTGGAGGGTATGTCCACAACATATGAAAAGTGTGTACCAATATTCCCACATTTCGTCCAACAGGATGAAATGACTTCATTATTGATATAACTTAAATGGAGTGGTATAAAATACCGTATGTGCAGAAAATTAATAGAATGATCCTTAAATATGGAGGTTTATTTGAGACGAGCCTCATTCCATAAAGCTTGTCATTTTGTATCAGATTTGGTCATCCCTAGAGATGTAAAATTTCTTAAAATACCATTTTTTTCCTGGATATTTCCCCCCTCCCTCCCCCAGAAATGCCCATTTCCCCCCAGAAAAAAATTGGGAAATGTTTTTTTTCCCCAGAAATTTAAACCTCCCTCCCCCAGAAATGCCCATTTCCCCTCAGAAAAAAATTGGGAAATGGTTTTTTCCCCCAGAAATTTTAAAAAATGGGAAAAAGTTTCCCCCCTGTTTCCCCCGCCCCAGAAAACATGGAATTTTTTGGAAATTTTACACCTCTAGTTACCCCAAATCACTTTTCCAAATCACTTTGGGACCTACTTTATGGCCATAGTGGGATTCAATTAGTATTTCATATAATTTTGAAGCCAGACCCTGCTGGATATTTTCTGAGGTTGGTAGCAGTGTTTCCAATGCAGTTAATTATCTAGAGGCCTGTACTTTCACTAATGGAAGGGAAGAAAAGTGAAGAACTTGGAATATTTGAAACCAAGAAGGTGAGATAGTACTTGCTTGATTTAAAAGTTGCTTCCCTGATTTGTGGTCAGAACTATTATACAAATCTCTTAATCGATATAAATCACAGTCTTTCAACAATTTAAAGTGAGTTCATACAGGAGGACACCCAAAGCAAATCTTAATCTATAGCTAGGTTCATATGGCCAAGTTGTATTTCAAATATCCTGGCCATTTCAGGATTTACAGGTACAGAGCAGCATCTTGCATTTTCCCTTGAAACAAGCCAGCTTGGTGTCTAAGACTGATATAATATAGTAAACAAAACATACACTAGAACGCAAACAGCTCACCACATTTTGTATCATCTCCATGATTACTCTTCAGTGGCAGCCCCAAATAGAGCATTATTGCAGAAATCTAAAACACTGCAAAAGAGCAATGGGCCAAGGCATCATCCATAAGACCCACTGATATGAGACTTGAGAGCATTAGGTGTTTAGCCACTACTTGTTTAGCTGAATGCTGTAACTGTAGAAGCCACTCAGAAAAGGTGAGGTTATGAACCTCAAACAGCTTTGATATAATGGGAGTATTGCATGTGGAGAATGATGGGTCAAAGGTTTTAGTCCACTCTGGTCTGTTATTTTGCTTCACAACTTTCCAGTCTGTCTCCTTGTTAGCATTTTCTCTCAATATGTGGCTAAATATTTTCCCACATACCCTAGATGCACAAGGGGAATTTTCAAGCTCTCTCTTTAAAAAACAAACAAAAAACAAACAAACAGTTGGACTGCTGGGAGCTGCATGTTGCCCACCACTGCATGCATAGTAGCTCAGGTTGATGGACTTTAGTGGTTTTTCTATCTATCTGACTTCTTAAATTTGTGCATACCCAGGGACAAGAATTCCTGTAGTGTTCTGGATCACAAGGGGAGGGCTACAGTTTGGTTGACCATAAGCTGGATGAAACTCTATTCTTGCCAGTGGATACAGGGCATCAAACAAGAGGCCATCGAAGTTGTCTGCAATCTCTTTGACCTCTAAGAAAACCTGAGAGAGATTTGTGGTCACTTTTACAAAGAAACAAATCCCTATGCCCTTGTAGCAGGATGGAAATGGACAAGAGTGACTGGTTTGATTAGGAGACATGTCATCTACGTGTTCTTTGCTCTTTGTTAATAGTACAAATAGCACACACAATGGGTAAGAATGAGGAAAATTGCATTTCTGCCTCTCTCTGGTGGCAGATAGTTCATATCCCTTCTCCTTTCTCCATGATTTTTGGTTATCTATCTGAACATGAGGTCTTTCTTGCAATCAGGACCAGATTCTCCATTCCAGTGTTCTCAGCTGAAAGCTAATGGCAGGACAGGTCTGTTTCCACTGGATGTAACAGGAGTCCTTTCAGCAGCATACATACAACCAAAGTATCCTTGGTCAAGTGATTATTCCGTCCCTTCATAGAATTTGGTAGATGGTGGATTCTGGAACAACATGTTCTAGTTTGACCAGAAAATACAAAAAGTAGCTATATGATCCATAACTGCAAACAAAATGAAGACTTGGACAATGACTTTTACTGGGACCACTACAATGTTATAGAAATGGTAGAAAGCTAATGTAACCTTTTAGGTTCTGTGAACTCTTTGTCAGGCATTATGTTGCAAAAATTAAGGGATAGGACACAGTCACCCAGATATCTATCAGTAGGTCAGAATTGAGCTCCTGTCTCTTCTCTTGCATACTAGTCAGGATACAAGTTGTGGACGATGTAGATAAAGGGGGAGCCCTAACACAGGATTGCCAACTTTCACATTATGTTTAGCTCAGATTTGAGACTGATTTACTGTCTGTCTTTGTTGCCATAAAAAGGGAAGGTGTATTTTAAATAAATGAATTTAAAATTCTTAAAACAAAGGTTTTAAGAATTTGACATGCCCTAACAATGCACTAATTCCAATATTACTAATACATCAGCAGAACGTGCACTCTCATATTTGAAATTTATGTTTCCTTTTTAGGTACTTGATTTGCAAGGACTACTTTAAAGCTACAGGAGACAAACTGTGTACAGTTCTGAAGATAATTTTGCATGTATAAATCAAAGACTACATTTTTATTATATATTTCTGTGTTGGAAACAAAGTATATATTTTCATGCAAAATCTTAAATCTTTTTCAAATGATGCCTAGATGTTGTGTCACTTTGCACTTTTTAGTGTCATTTAATAAGTTATATCCAACAAGAAGCAAATATCTTTCTATGAATTTTATCTGGAATTTTTTGAAAATTCAAGACATGGTAGATAAGTTACAGCTTAATTTGTTCTAAGATTAGTTTTCTTATACAGGATTTTATCTCATTGTAATGTAAGAGTGAGATTCAGTACAATGTGAGAGTGTGGAGCAAGGACTCAAGAGATTGTGGGTCCAAATCCCCATTTGGTGATGGAAACTTGTGGTTAGCAGAGGTGAACTGTTACTTGAAATCTGTTAGGGTCATGAAAATGTGACTTGACAGCACATGACAAAAACAACATAAGAATAAAAGGGCTACTTTAGTGCATCTGAAACATAGCAGTCCTCTTTTCGTCTTCCGTTATATTCTTTTACATTGGTCATCCCAATGTTTCCAGAAATTCAGAATCAGATCAAAGGCCTGAAGGAAAAATATGGGTGTCGTGGGTGCGGCTTTCAAGATAGGTGAGATATTTAAAGAGTGGTTTTATCAGTTCCACTCCCCATGTGCGTTTCCATGGCAAAGTGGGGATTTGAACCCTGTTCTCCAGAGTCCCAGTCTTTCACTATATTCACTACACCACACTTGAAGGTGAGAGGTCAGATTTTTTTTATTGTTCCCAATTATCAGTGGAGACATTGGGTACAAAGTTGCCTTGGAGCAATAATATACAGGTTTCTTTCTCTTACTTGTTTTGATTAACTCCAGCCTCATGGAATGCTATGGGCCCCGAAATGCTATGGTATTTCAACTGGCCCTAATAAAAGGATTGCTTGGCTGCATCTTCTCGATCCCCCCCCCCCAAATATGTGATTTGGTGGCACTTGATACAGGCATCCAGTGGTGGAATCCCATTCTTCCGCATTCACAAGTGAAAACCACATTGTTCAAGAGGACTTCCTAATATGTGTATAAATTATGGCTTACTGAAACACCAGAATTAATAGATAAATATATAGGGCTCAATCAGTTAAGTATTTGGCTGCGGAGTCAGAGATTGTGAGTTTGATTCTCCACTGTACATCCCAGAAGAGCCACCCTGCTTGCCCTTTCCCCCACTTTTTGGCATTTGAATCCGACCATCAGCTATGCGCAGAACGTGGCCAAGCCAGCATAGACATCGCTGTTTCAGTAATGTATGCATGCTGAAAATTCCAGCTCGTTCTAGGACTACTCACCAGAACTAATAGATAACTATATTGGACTCAATCAGTTAAGTATTTGGCTGTGGAGTCAGAGATTGTGAGTTTGATTCTCCACTGTACATCCCAGAAGAGCCACCCTGCTTGCCCTTTCCCCCACTTTTTGGCATTTTGGTGGCCAATTAAGAATCATTACCGAGCACTTTTTTAAATTTTACATATGAATCATAGGACTAAGCTGCTGCTTCTGCAAGGGCACACGAAGCGTTTGGCGTTGATAATTTCTTGAACAAAAGAGAGCCTTCATGTTGCTTAATAACAATAAAGAACAGGGAAACAAATGCATTGGAGAGGTAATGCTTGCCGCAACCCCGCGCTCTCCGGATATTTTGAACTACAACTCCCAGAATCCCTAGCCTTCACGGACTATTTTGGAGGCTCCGCATGCGCAGACGGAATTGAATCCCGTTAGTAACTGTTGCCCTTTCTCGGCATGGAACGGACGCTTTGGGCGCTTCTCGGACGTTTTGGGGGATGAAAACCACTGATGACGCTGCTGCCTCAGTGTCCCTTCGGGAGGATTTGAGGTAGGGCCTCTTAATCCCGCTTTCCCCTCATCTCTTTTGCTCACTCCCATTTGGTCCCCGCATTGGCGTCTCTCCTTTCCGGGCAGGGCGTCCGTGCGGGAGGAATTGTTCATGGGGGTGACAGTAGTCAGTGGTGGGTCCCACACCGTCCGAGATGTCTGCTTCAGTGGACATTTTAGCCTCGCCCTTGGCGCAAGCTGGTCAGGGGAGAAATCCACGCTGGAGGCCGACTGCCGTGACGAGCCGAGCCGCTGTCTCTCCAGGTCCAGCCTGGCGAAGAAGAAAGTCGCGACGGGCGTTCCTGGTTTGCCGAACTCGGGTCATTGAAGTCTCTAAGGTGAATATATATATATATCCAGTATATATATTCCCGGATTCAGTCTAGCGCTCAGATGAATGCAGCTCTGCACATTCCACTGCCTTGTTTACAGATACGTGCATGTAAGTATGCAGAGTATCAGAGACTCGGGTCTTCTAATGCTCTAAATATAGTTGAGATTTATCTATGTGGTCTCTGATATTCTGCAGATGTGTAAATATATATATATCTCTGCAAACAAGGCAACGGAATGTGCCGGGCTGCATTCATCTGCAGCAGGCAAGCGTGATGCAGGGTGTGGGGGACATCGGGGACCGGAAGCCCAAACCGCTCACCTCAATTCACCGGTAATTTTATGCTTTGGGTGATATACTTGGGATATATTGAATGACCTGGAGCCACACCTCCCTATTTTGGATATTGAAGATTTTGCACATCACTGCTGTTTTTGCGTTTGACATTAGCCCGCCATCCAGCAGGCAGGGAATAGTTGACGGTTGGCAGAGCTTTTGCAAACATTTCTCCGGCTCTAAACCTGTTCGATTCAGTGGACGAGGCTCCAGGGGTTTGGAAGATGGGGGGTACACACTATCTTTGCATTGGCAGGGCTGTTTTTAAAACGTTTGGGGGAAAGAAAAAAAAATCTGTTTTTAGTTACAAAGTAACACGCGATTTCGAAAGAATGTGGCGGAATCCGCCGCTTGTTGCTGTTTTCTATTCCAAAACAACCCCGAGATTCACTGATCGAACGGAGATGCAGCGTTTTGTATTTTCTCCTCGCTGGGGATCGCGCCTGCGCTTTGTACCTCCGAACTTGTGAATTGGGCTTTTGTTGGGAAGTGTTGCGAGTGTGGAATGTAAACCCAGAGATCGAGAGAAGCGCTATTAAAGTAATACACTGCTCCATCCCGTCTCAGATTATATTTTAGCTATCGATTTAGTAAGAACTTGAAGTAGCTGCAAACTCAACGTTTCTTTATTCGTTCCACTACCTTACATGGTCGTTGTCAACATAATCAAGGCTCCGTAAACTTCCACCCGAGATGGAAGTCACAAAACACTTGGAATTCGTATTTCATTCATTTATCATTTTTCTGTCCTCCAAGGCTCCCAAAGCAGTTTAAAATCATTCAAGCATGGATTTAAAATATAGATTTCTGTCTCTGGTTCATTCCACTTGGATTTCCATTGGATATGAATAACAATTTTGAAGGGTGTCTGTATGGGTGTAACTGTTAGTTTGTCACATCAAAAACAACAAAGAATGTAACATGTTTTTATTTGGCATCGTTGTGTACTGCAGTCAGGGACACGAGTGCTCCTCCGTATGGAAGATTATGTCACACTTGGGTGTGGAATGTAATGAGTGGGATGAGAAGGAATTAAAATGAGGAAACAAATGGTCTTTACCTTATCAGTTTCAATTAACAACACCAGCAACAGGGTAATGAACTTTGTGTTAATTAGCACAAATGGTATACTATTTTTAAAAAACCTTTGCCCTTTTTCACAGCAGGAAAGAGCTGACTCTCTTGGTGAATTCTTGTATGGATTTCTAATAATTGGGTCAGTGTGAATTGAATTGCAGAATGTCAAAGATTTTCTTTCCTCTTTTTAGTGGTGAAAACATTTGAAGACTGAAATATCTTCAGATAAATGTTTTCCATAAACATGGCATCAGCTTGAAAGGATATTCAGGTGTGTCTTTATGTTTTGGATGGAACACTCAAAGGTAGCACCAAGTCACTGCAAAAATTGAGCTTTAGGTTCCCCTCAGAATTCACATCTAAGCAGAAAATTCAATATGCTAATAATAAACATAAAATGTCCCTCCACCTGTTAGTGGGTTTTAGGATAAGCACAGGGCTTGTGCTACATCAGAGACAAAAACACAGTATTTCACAAGGCCTGGTATTGCTTTGCCCTTCTTTCCAATTATTGCTGCTGCTTCCCTTCAGTTTGGGGCTGAAGTAGTGATGCAGAATTCCTGTGTGGATTTCAGGCTAAGCTGAACTATAATGGGAAGTTCTTTTTATGCTCTGTGTAATTTGGTGGCAAACGGCAGATACAAAAATATAAATGTCAAAAGAGGGTGTAAACTATCTTATGCAACAGTCCTTATGCAATTACTAGTCTGGACAATCTGTACCATGCATGGCAAACACTGAACTAAGGAAGGGGTTGTCCAGCATCCATCTTGGTGGCAGATTGCTGCTCATTAATAAAGTGCTGGTTGTTTTCTGAGTACTGTACATGCCCAGTTGCAGGATTTGCCACACAACCAGGAATGCAAACAGCACTGTATTAACAAGGGCAAGTTCCCACCAAGACATATGCAGTTCTCCTTTAGAAACTGGCAACAGGATTTTGGACTCTTTTTGTGCAGTAGATCCCATACTGTTTCTTGCGGCTCCTGGCAGAAATAGGAAAGGCATGCTGTTTGAAATCAGTGTACAGTATATGATACGAATAAGATGGACCAAATTACTTGTCAACAAGGCAGCTTTTTATGCTTCATAATAAAAACAAAAGTCCATTGATTAGCCTTAGTTCTGAGTGTCAGGTGAATGCACGTTGCTGTATGTTGTTTTTCTAATATGGTGTAAAGTTGGTACTGACTTATGGCAACCCTGATAGGGCTTTCAAGGTAAGTGAGATGTGGCTAGTTATTACTGTTTTAATTGAATTACTTTACTCTGTGTTGTTGACTTTGGAAACTGCTTACATCTTAGGAACATCTTCATGAACCCAAAATAAGGATTGGCTGATTCTCCATGTGAATATTGTTTACATTCTGGTGCTCCTGGCTCCATAGATCTTCAGGATTCCAGTAAACTAGCTTTAAATAGAGTTCTACTTTGGCATTCAATCAGAGGATTGATGTAGTCTCTGATTTATTGTGGAAAGCTGGATGGGACTAACATTTTTATGTCAAACAGTGCTGTCTGCTGGGTTCTTTTCTCTGTCTTCTTTTGGTAGAAACTTGCCACCTTATTTTACCAGACTTTCATTTCCTGTGACTATCTTGGCCGGTGGCAATTTTAAAAGGGCTGAACTTCATTCTTATATTCTAAGATAACTCAGTTCAATTGTCTTTATGGACAAGCTACTGTTGCATTTTTATTGATTCTTATATTCTGTGTTATTTACTTTGATTTAGCCTTGTTCATATATGTGCAGAATATCACAGAAGTGAGTACACCCCTCACATTCCATAAATATTCTAGTATATCTTTTCATGTGACAGTACTGAAGAAATGACATTTGGCTCCAATGTAAACCAGTGAATATACAGCTTGTATAACAGTGTAAATACGCTGTCCCCTCAAAATAACGCAACACACAGCCATTAATGTCTAAAGTGCTGGCAACAAAAGTGACAATCCCCAACCACCCCTAGCTCTGCAGCGTAAAGAATATCCCCCTCCCGCACCTCATGAGCAAGCATTTGTTTCAGGGAAGGACAGAGGAATAAAATGTCATCCTTCTCTACATATGCATGATGGTGGGAAGAACCTATTGTGCCCAAACCTCTGGCTACTTTTGGTGAAATAGCCTCTCAGCCTTTTGTTTCCAGCCTCCCTTCTCCATCCACAAAAAGCCCCCTAGCCCTGCCTTTCAGAAGACATGCCCTCCCTTGCAAGGCAGCCAAGCTGAGCCTCTCAGCGGGTAGGGTGGTTCTGTCCACCCACCGTCTGCCTGCCAGTCGGTTCCCCCTCCTCCCTTCCCTCTGCACAGGTCGGGGCTGCAGGGTGAAGCCCGGGGTCCCCAAGAGAGGGGATGGTGTTCAAGCAGCAGCTCCGTGCCTCAGGCAGGGAGGGGAGAGAGCACGAAGCCGGTGGCAGTGGCTCTGGCAGGCAACAAGACCTGATCAGACACACCACCTGCCCCTCAAGGCTTGGCGTGGCGATAATAGGGTGGCATGTCCCTCCCCCTTTTTATATCACATACCACATGACGCACCATTGCCTCCTTGCCCTCACAATGGCGCAGGCTGTTCATGTGGCATGGTGGGAGCTGCAATTGCCTCTCCGGGGGCGGAGTCACGCTAGTCTAGTATAAAAGCTTCAGTTGACCTACTTCCTTGTTCTGACATGCCGCTGCGAGCGCAACCCCCCCTGTGCGTGCATGTGGGGGTGGGGTGGAGATCTGTATCAGTAGCGCGGTTCTGGCAAGCCCACGGACTGGCACCGGGCTGCAGACCGGGGGTTGAGGACCCCTGGTCTAGAGCAGTGGTTCCCCAATGTGGGTCCCCAGATGTTCTTGGATTAAAAATCCCAGAAGCCTTCACCACCAGCTATGGTGGCCAGGATTTCTGGGAGCTGCAGTTTAAGAACAACTGGGGACCCAAGGTTAGGAACTAGGGGTCTCTATTTTTAGGAGAACCGTGGTTTTTTTTTAAACATCAGTAATCACAGTAACAATATATTCACCATCATCACATAAAGATATATGGATAGACATACTGGGGTGATTTGATGAACCTGATATTTTATAATGATTACCAAAGGAAATATACATGGTTGTATTGCTTTTTATTTTGTTTTGTTTTGTTTCTAGTAGGTTATGAAGAAATTGTACTACAATCAAGGGAAAAAACATACATACAGAAATAAAATAACAGTGCCATCTAGTGCCAAGCTTGTTAAACTTCTATCAGACATTTATGATTTTATTTTGC